ATTCTAGTAATTTCGAGGTCATTTGAGGACCCATGTTTATGCTGTAACACCAGATTAAAAATTCAAGGACCTTTGAGGACCCATGTTCACGATATAATGATACAAGTCAATATTAACTGTTAAGAGAGTCTTCTATTGTGGAAAAAAGAAACATAACGATCGATTTTTTGCTCTTTCGTATGAACTGACAACAATTAAAAACGTTTAGATAGATAGACAGATAGATAGATAGATAGATAGAAACTTTATTAACGTGTCAAAGAACCTTCTAGTTTGAGAGATATCCCATACTAATGTGGGGACACAAATAAAATGGATAAACATTATTTACAAAGAATATTACCTACTTAAGAATAAAATTGAGTCATATCATGCATGAAAAAAGAAATGAAATGAATTCATATAAGAATTACATATAGAGCACAGCTCCTGCAGCCTTCATCTAATAGAGAGCTGAGGTCATGCTTACGTATGTGGTTTTTGAAACTAGCTCTCAGTAATGTTGTGGCTGATCTGTCATAAGTTGTCGGTTTACTCCATAATTTAGGTCCTAAATAGCGTAGTGAATGTTTACCGTAAGTTATTGTGTTGTACTCTAGGAATAGAAAAGTCGGCCTGTCTTAAATTATAGGAAGAATTGTGTTTCTGCAAGATATTACAAATATTCAAAGGGCTAAGGTTGTATTTAACTTTGTACATTAAAATGCAAATATCTTGCAAGCGTCTGTTTAATAGCGAAGGTAAATTAGCTTCCTGCAGCAAACTTTCATAGGTGGAGTGTTTATCTTTGAATACAGCCCTTAGGCCTCTTTCTTGAACTCTCTCCAATCTGCGAATATCAGTAGATTTACAACTGAAAATGCCATGTGAGATGGCAGTAGGTTACATATGGATGAATGGCTGCCTTAAAAAGTTTTAATTTTGCATTTGTTGGACTCAAGTTGCGGAGTCTCATAAGCACACCAGTCCTTTGACTGGCTTTGTTACAGATAGTATTTATGTGATTATTGAAATTCAAATTTGAGTCAATTGTGATTCCGAGAAGTTGAAGAGTAGTGGTCGTGTTGATTTTCTCTTTGTTTACTAAGATAGCGCATTCTTCGATGTTGTTTTCAGAGTTATTTTTGCTACCAATAATTGAGGTTTGGTATTTTTTAAGGTTACCAACTAATAGATTACATTCGTACCAGCTGGTTGCTTTTTGCATACTGTCTCTAGGTTTGGACGTTTGCTCAAAACTCGAACAAACGTCCGATCTTTTGGAGCCGCATCAGTTTCTTTGATGATACCAACCCTTCGTCAGTGGAGATGCGAATTTATCTCTCCTCGAGCCTGTTGTCGCCCATGTCGGCGTATCATTACTGCTTGCACAACCAGACACGGAGGGTCGTCGAGTGTCTTTAATTACCGTTTTTAATTATCACGCCCCACATGGACTCTTTTCTCCTCTTGAAAATTTGGCATAACTCAAGCATGGAAGGAGGTTCTTGACGGCCTTTAATATTTGCGTAAACTGAGCAAGCGAGTTACATTATAACCATATCACTCTCTGCCGGGACACCCGCTGTACCACTTTAGTGGGGTTGACGTCGGCTCCAGACTATTTTGGCCAAAAAACAATTTTTCTTTTCTTTGGAGTTTCCCGTGATTAAAAATGCGACAAACAAAAATCAGACGACGACTAAAGGCGTCGGCCTATTCAACGATAAACCGGCAAACTTTGCCGAACCACAGGTAGCCCATGCCCATGCACTATTATAGTTAAGCAATAGAGCACATTTTTCCGAGCTCTAAAGCGTTTNNGCTGTGGTGTTTACCATTTGTTAATTTTAGGTTTTCTCGAGAACTTGAGCGGATGACGGTTAATTTTTCTTTCTTTTTCCTTACCTTAACGCCGTTCGAAGTGATATAGTCCTGAATAGTTCGCCAACAATTTCCAAGTGAAATCGGAATAATCTCGAAAGAGCTACAAAAACGAAAAGTTAGATTTTGACACGACGTTTTCGTTGCCGTCGTCGTTGCTAAAGCTCCCTGTTAGCGGGGGTGAGGGGAGGGGGGGAGTGGGTCAGAGTATCCCGTATCTCATTCTAACCTTTCGTTTTTTATATTCTCCCGAGTTTGATATCCCAGAATCCCTGTTTTAACCATCCCCTATCCCGTTCATATTTTTCTCGTGTATCGCGTATGCCTATTATTTTTTACCCAAATGTCCCGTATCCCGGTAACCCCTTATAGGGCCCTTCACTTACTTCATCGCAGACTTAATTAATATGATCACGCCAGGATAAGAGAATATCGATTAAAATTCCTAAGTATTTGAGTCTTACACAAAGATCGGATCTGCTACTGTAAGTTATAGTTTACTTTCTGTCGGGGCTGACGGACGCTGAGGTATTTCGTTTTCATCATACAAACTACTTCCCTTTTCTGCGTTTGAAGAATGCACTTACAGTTTAATTATTTCTCTACGTGGCTGATATCAACGCGCGTGAGGTGTTGGGAGTTGTTGAGCATCACATCCGGTATTAAGGATTCTCTATTCTGGAAATACTGATAGTCTCGCATGCATATTCGCACGTATGGACTAAATAAGTGACAACACGCGGTCGCATATTCTCATTCTGTTTTGATACACGATTAGTTTCTAACTTGTAATTACTCAATTTTAACAGCATGTTATTGTTTAAACAGAATGACATCAGTTTGAGGAATAAGCATATTTTCCAATATTTTTCTGCATGTTAACATCCTTCTGAAGTAGGGTCAGCACAAACAAAAGCCTACGTTTGATCATGAACGAAGCTGGAATACTCACATCGCCGACGGCGCCCATGATCGTTTTTTTCGCGTGACCAAGTCGTCACGTGTTTGACCTCTTGCGCCTATATTACTACTTTTCTCAATCATGTTGTGGCCATGCGCCTGCTATGCCTTTTCTCAAGCGCTAAAAATGCATCACATCAGTACGAAATTATAGAAATTTGTCCGTAAAATAATTATAACTGACGTTACAGAGGCAGGTCAAGTAAGGCGGCTCCGAAGGTACGTAATACGCCAGACAGGCTGTACTTTGTCCTTATACCACGTGGTTCCGGTTTTTCACGTACGTTTCACATGATTGAACGTGATGCACTTAACGTGAGCATGCGTAGAACAGTGTTGTTATGACAACACCAACCCCGGGGAATCTCAGAATAACAAGAATAATGGCGGACATGCACACAGTTTCTGTGGTCGGTCTCCTTAAAGATGCCGAATTTCATATGATTAAAGGAGCTGCAGAGGTATTACTGAGCATGCTATGAGAATCCATATCAAGGTTTTTATCATAAGAGTACAAATCCTCACGTCTTAATGTACTTTGTTATTTTATCACAACAGCAACTTACCCAGAGAGAACCTGATGTGTTCACCGAGCCATACGTCCTGGGTTTGTTGGAGTGTGATTGGGACACTTTTATTCGAGATAAGAAGAAGGTAAGATAAAAAGAAGAAATTATGGCCTTATTCAAAACCAGAAACTGAGGATCTAGACGCCGAGATCACTTAAAAAAACTGATTTCTCATGTAGGCTTATTTTTAGGCGTCAGTTAAGAAGTACGCTCATAAAAAATTCCTAGCGTGACCTGTAGTTTGCAAATAAATCAAAAGTTCGAAGCTTTCAGGCACGCTACTGTGTTATTTTAAACTACTTGAGTATTTGGAAAGTATTAAGGAATAAACAGTTATATAATATAAGTTGATTTATAATGTACCTCACACAACCATTTTAGGCCGGTACAAGAGTACATTGTTTGTTGCATTTGTGATATGACTTAACGTGTTCCAGCCCAAGTACAAATTATTAAGCTTACTTAATGTAAGCGTGGTTAGTTAATTTTTTTCTTTGGATTCATGCCATCTTTCAAATAATTTTGATGAGGGGTTTTCCAATTCATGTGTCAATCACCAGGCATTCGTTACTCACGAGTTCCTTCGAACAAAATGGCTTTAAGTGCCCCTGAGACGAAAATTGACCATTTTATTTTGGGCTAATTTTTTTACAGAATTTTGAATTGGGTCAAGTTAAAACCCTTTTTGCCATTAAAAACTTGAAACAAACCTTCGATGACCAATTTTTACCACTTCAAAGTTGTCCAAAAATTGTCCGCCATTGCTAAAAACAGTTCCAGCTGAGCCCGCAATTGTACAGCAGAAAACGTCATCATGACGTCAAAGGCTTAACAAACTTATGCTTTACTTTGTCACAACTCTCTTTGTTCACTGCAAAGAGAATCACATATATTACTTTTTTGAGAACTGTTTCGTTGTCAGTCATGAAATGTCAACTTTGTCTGGCAATGAATTGTCCCAGAAATCATCTGAAGCTTCTGTTGAGAGTTTTGCACCAGCAAGCAATGAATTTTTGCCATGCAAATAAAGATAAATGCAGAAGGGCGTGGACTCCCCATGTTGCCCCTTGGAAATTTGATGTTCTTAAAACTAGCATATTTGTTTTAAGAACATCAAATTTCCGCGGGGAAACTATCAGCCATTAGTTCCTAGACAGAAACACTCTGTTGTTTAAATAGCTTGTTTAAAATGTGAACGTGAAACTAATGACAAATAATGAGCTAATAAGAACTAATATTAAAAGATGAAAGTATTGAAAAGCTATATTTTATCTAATTTATATAATTATTAAGCGAAAGTGCATTAAAAATAATTATAGTTAAAGCATCACCATAAACGAATGCAACGCACGCCTAAAAGCAGCCAAGTCTGGACATTCCCTGACTCTAGTAGGCAAACCATTCCAAAGCTTATTAGTTAAATATGACCATGACTTATGCATGTATTCTAAGTTGAACAATGGCAGTGTAAGGTGTGTGCTAGACACCCCTTAGGTTGTAATTCACATTTAAAATGTTAAAAAACTGACCAAGATATTCCGGTCCCTGTCCTCTTAAACATTTTTATGAAATAACTAATGACTGGATTTGCCTCTGTGTCTCTAAGTTTTGTATTTTAGCTAAATTAAGGAGAAAATCATAAAGCACTGAGCTTGAATACCCAAGGATAGTCCTTAGGATGTAGTAATTAGAGTCCTCTAACTTGTTTTTGAGTCCATTACTTATACCTAGCAGGAGTGGGCTGCAATACTCTAAGTGGGGTAGTACCTATGCTTTGTAAAGGCGAATCATAACATCTTATGGTATAAACTTACGCAGCTTGCGCATGGCAGCTGCCTTAGCACATGCCTTCTTAAGTTGTACCTGTATATAGGGCTTAAATGTTATTCTTTCATCTAAAATGACACCAAGAATCTTCAGACTATCAGTCAGCTCTACATTATTATCTTGTAGATTAATATTTTATGTATAATTTACTGGGCCAATGGCCATCGCTTGGGTCTTTGTTGCATTGATATGCAAATAATTATGTTGGAGCCATGTACACGCTACTTGAAGATCTGAGTAAATAATGTATTGTAAAACAACAGGAGATGTATCTGAGGCATAAGCAGTAGTGTCATCGCCATATAATCACAATGAGGTGCCTTCAGTAAAATAATTTAGATCGTTCATGTATATGTTAAACAACAGAGGACCTAACAGGCTCCCCTGAGGGACCCCAGTTCTAACAGTTCTCCACTGAGAATAAGTTTAACACATTGTTTTCTCTCACACAAATATGCAGTCATGAGTTGCAATGCCCTCCCTGAAAAACCATAGGCCGTCAATTTAGCTCGAAGAAGTGAATGACACACTGAGTCGAAAGCCTTACTAAGATCCACTGCGACTGCAACGACAGCTTCTCGCCTATCGAGACTCACCCTCCAATCCTCAGTCATCTTAAGTAGAGCTGAACAACAAGAGGGTCCCCTTAAATAACCAGATAAATTATGAGACAGCTTGCATTGAAGGGCCTCTCACAGCTGATCAAACATGACTCTTTCAAAAAATTTGGAAAAAGCAGTCATTAGTGAAACTGGCTGATAGTTAGCCTTATCAGTCTCTTTCGACTTCTTATATATGGGGGAAACATTGCTACACTTCCAAACCATAGGCCAACTGCAACTTGTTATAAGGCAGTTAATCAAACAGCGCAGTGGCTGTGCAAATGGCGGGAGCTGTAATGCGCAATAGTCTTTGCGATATGTTATTGCATCCCATGGCTTTGCTTGGATTAAGCTTCAGCAGTATGTCCTTCACATATTCCACCTCTATCAGCTGAAAATCAAAATTGGTAACAGGTACGAAATGTTCAGCAATCCTCTTGACGTTAGGGTGATCTGTAAATTCATCCACACTCATTTGAG